GGTGCCCCTCCTGCAAACAGGGCAGGAAAACACCACAAAAGGGAAAAAAAGCCACACATCACTTGCAGCATTTTTACATGTAATAGTAACAGTCTCTTGGTGCCATCATCAGCCATGGCATTTCATTCACACAGAACACTTGTGGGCACATCACATATGCTTTTCCATTCAATGTATTTTTAAATGTTTCCCAGGCAACTGTTTCAATACAATATGCCTCCTTGGCAACCTGGTACCCGCAAATGCCATGCTAGTCTCCCTAGTCCTCTTTTTAGGTCTTCCCATCTTGGCACATAAATGTCACAAGGCTGGGTTTTCCATCTCCAGCCACACAGGTGCTGATCTGTCCTTGCTTTTGGAAAGGCTGAGTTGAAGGGATGAGTCGGGCACTGGGTGCTGCACGTTGGCAAATTCAGCTTTGGTGTGCTACCAGAGGGAGCAGGTTTCAAAGGCAGAGGCTTTTTGTGGGGAAGAGAATGTCTCCTGCAACTAAAATGAAGGAGAGCCCACAAAACTGTCTCCACTGAACTGACTTTCTCTGGAAGCAGCAATGAGCCTGCACTTCCCAAACTGAAATGCACGTCATCTTTATTCTCCTGACTAAGCCAGTCTTACCCAGTTCTCCTCCTTTTGTGGTTTAATTGTAACACAACATTAATGAAAAGAGTCAGACTTTCCCATTTCACCACAGCCAGTGATTAGCACTGGACTCAGTGGGTCAGTTTGCTGAGTTACTCTTTCCAGGGCTGCAATTGCTGCCACTGGCTATTTGGGGACACATTGTGACATTGGAGTGTTCCATTTCAGCTGTGGGACATTGGCTGCAGCAGCTTTCCCTGCTGCTCTGCACACTGTGGTCTCTTTGGGGACATTGTCCTTCATTACATTTAGCAGAATGGCCACGCTCATCCTTGAGTGAAGTCACAGACTATTTGACAAGGACAAAAAATTATCAACATGTACTCACAAGCTAAGCATTGATTAGATAAAATAATTGAAATACAATAATATTTCAATGGTCTAGCAAGGAACAATTTCTTCAGAACATTTTTATCTGATACTGGAGCTATCACTACAGAAGAAATGATATTTCAGAAGGTCTAAAACTATCAGCGAGCATCAGTCGTCATAAAAAAAGAAGTTTTTAATAAAAGCTGTATGTGCTTCAGCCTCAAAGTGGCACATTAAAAAAAATAATAGCTCCTGCATGCAATGACATCAGGCTCTGAGAGAAACCCAGCAGAAACTGTGGCATCTCTTCTTCATTGATTACTCCATAACAACAGCTGAAAATTACAATTTTTCCAGGCTATAAAATGCCTAGCACTCCAAATTCTACACCAGCAGCAAAAATCTCCTCCCTGTCTGTGAGCTGTTGTATCTGTAATAGAGACCCTGCATTACCAAGCTTTCTAATTCTTCCCAAATGCAGAAGCTCTCATTCAATGCTGCAGCTGTTGGGGAGGAAATCAGAAATAGCAGAAGGCGGATTAGTTGATAATGTACCAGTTCTTCCCCAGCAAATGCTGGCACCTGCGTTTTACACTCTCCTCTTTCCCTCAGCCCAGGAAAAGATCACTTGGTTTGTTTGGCAGGCAATTTATAGGCTTTAGTGCTTGTGGAACTGCAAAAGGATTAGAATTTGTTATAATAGCCCCTTCTTCCTGAGAGCAAAAGTTAAAACTGAGGCCCACTTTACAGCAAGAATCAGGGACCATGTAAGTAAAGATTAAGCGTGTGCAGCTTGATGAGACTCAACAGGGAAGAGATAACTACACATGCTGGCACTCCATTTACAAGGAAATCCCTGCAGATAATCTCTAGGAGCATTCTGGCTTCCACAAGCTCAAATCCCTTGACCACTGGCTCAAATCCAGTCAAGGCTGATTATGATAAAGACTACTCTCTGCATTTCTAGGAGAACTTTTTGTCTAAGACCACTAAACATTCTAATTATTAAATTAGCAAGACCCAAAATCAAGCAGGAAGTAATAGGATTTCCATGCAGTGGAGGAAACAGAAGATGTGGTCTTGTGCAAAGGGGCAAGCCCAAGAACAGATCCTATTCTACACTTTGCTTTCCTATTCTTAGTACATTTTTCATTCTAGAAAGATGCAGGTGAAAAATACTAAATGCCCTTAATGGACAAAGATTTCCAGTTTGAAATCTGCAGGCAGTTCCAGAAGCAGATAGAGCAAGGATGAAAACATTCATGACATGGTTAGAGTGGGTATTGAATGGATAACAATCAAAAAAACCTTGGAATTTTCACATAAATCTACACAATCCAAACCCACCTACAGTTGCCACAGAAGCAAGGTTTTCTCCTTTTGCTTTTTACAAGCAGAAGCTGCAATAATAATTTTCCCTATTCGTTTTATTATATTCTTTCATTTGTGGCCCTTAGCGCACAATAACCAATTTTTATGTTCCCCCATCATAAAGCTTTTGCAAATGCTGGAAGCGCTCACAGCACCACACAGCAACAGCTCCAGCATGAGGAACAGGCTGCACTCCTGATGGCTGTTCTGGGAGAAGTTGTCTGTAACAACATAAATCCATGGGTACAACACACGATTTAGCAGCACAGGATTGTCCAAGGAGTATCCAAGGGGTCATAAAACATAAAACATCAACCTAAACATCGCAGGAATAAAAGAAACCTTGTGGCATCTCTGATCGTTGGCATAGATACACCCAGGAGTGTGTTTGGAGCGCTTTCACAGCCCCCCGATTTTGTAAAATCCCTGGTTTTGTATAGTCTGCTGCCTCCATGTGGTGACAGTCAGCGCTGGGCCGCAATTCCCAGGGATCCTGAGTAAAATCCCCCAGGGAACACTTCTTCAGCTGGTTGTGAAATCACATTTCTACCCCTCCTCTGTCACCTCATTTCCCACCACTTCCACGGCCAAACCCTCTTCAATTCACACTTTTGCTTTATTTACACCCCCTTTCTCCTGCTCTTCTCTGCTGCCACCACCACCTTCCTGCCCACAGCAGATCCAGATTCACCCTTTGCCTCTGCTCCGCTTACCTTGTTCCACCTGCAGCTTTTGGGAGAACACCTTTCCTGACAAAGAAGGAAAGGAGGGGCTGATTTCCTGGGATCTCCTTTCACCACACTGGGAAGCAGCTTCTAAATGGCAACAAAAGTGACAGAAGCCTGTGACTGTACCTTGGGTGTTCCCTGGGCACTGCAGTGGCTGTAACAGATATTAATGTGGGGAAAGGTTAATCTTTGTGACAGGGGTTGACTTTTCCAGCAGTTTCTTTCTTCCTGGATTTTATTCTCATTTTACTCTGCTCATCACACAGCTGAAATGCTGGCCCTCTTGTGTGACAATTTTTTATTATTTTTGTTTTTCAGCTGGGCTATCCATTGTATAAACTCCCAAAGATCCCAGAAGCAATCAAACACTACACTTCCAAGATTTTTTAACCACAAAAGGAAAACTAATAATGATGCTTTAAAGTTAAGAAATTAGTTATTACACAGAGTTAAAGGCATTATGGACTCACAGAAACATAAAGTACCTGAAGGGAAGGTGAAGGCTGGGCAGAGCCTCCCAGATCTCTGCACAGACAGAATCATCCTCAGCTGAAACACCTCTGGATGGGGCTGAATGGACTTGCTCGGGTTTAAATTTAAGTGAAATATCAATCTCTGAACTCTGATACCCATTTTCAAGGTTCAGATACACTCAAAGCACATATTAAGTCCACTGTTACTTAATACATTTTTGCTGGGCTGTGTGACCAGCACAATAATTCATAGGTGTAACCTCTAACAATCAGTCAATACTGATGCCTCCTTTCTACTCTGAAAAATCCAAGGATGGTGCAGTCCACAAACATCCAGGAACAGATAAATGCAGTTACAGAAGAAGACTGTGGACTTGGACTCATGTTTTACCAATAATAAATTTGTTTTATGCAGAGTCCCGTGTGCTGGTGCTCCCTCATAAACACCAGTTACCAAACTCGATTTATTTCCTTGCACATTTTTTGCATCAATTGTTAGGAGTTTAAACAGCAGAGTTACTTTGTGATCCTTTCGTGTACTGTTGGAGGATGAATTTTCTGTCACCATTCCTATGGGATCTGTTTTTGAGACGGCTGCAGGCTGGGGAGTGTTTAAACCCTCTCTAGCATGGCAACGCTCCAGCCAAAAACGTCAAGTCGCATCACTTCAGATTCTTCTCTAACAGTGAAATTAGGTCAGAGGGGCGCTCCCAATCCGTTTTATTTTTGGAAGAACAGCCTTTGGGTTTGACCCCGGCAGCACCTCCAGAC